TCCCTATTCGAACGTATCTGGAAGGAAGTGTCCCGGCTAATTGGAGCGAATCGATTATAGTGGCAATATACAAGAAGGGCAGTCGCACAGACTGTTCTAACCACAGGGTATTAGCCTAACGCCAGTTGTGACAAAATTACTGGCCTCGATTATCGTTCGTCGCCTCACTGCGAACGGGAATCTCGGATTAGGGAAGAGCAGGCCGGTTTCCGCCCAGGACGTGGCTGTATAGACCATATATTCACTTTGCGGCAGGTGCTAGAGCAGCGCCACGCATACCGCAGACCGACAATAGCTGTGTTCCTCGATTTCAAGAGTGCGTTCGATTCAGTCGATCGATCGATTCTGTTCGAAATACTTGCGCGGAAAGGTGTTCCCACGAAATATGTGAACATCCTTCGTGCTCTATACTCGAACACTACAGGCCGCGTCAGGGTCTACGGTGTCCTATCGGATAGCTTTCCGACCACAAGTGGCGTTCGTCAGGGTTGTCCGATTTCCCCATTTTTGTTCAATTTCGTCGTGGATTCTATCATGGAGTGTTCCCTTGCGGAATCTCACGATGTAGGCGTTGAAGTGCTGCCTGGTGAAAGGTTAGTTGATCTAGATTATGCGGACGATATCGTCTTGCTTTTCGACAATGTTGAGGCGGCACAATCAACCCTGAATAGCCTGTCCAGAGTGGTCCCATTATTTGGTATGCACTTTCGCACCTTCATAGTGCAAAGTGTTGCTGCAGGACCATCAGCCACTTGACGACCCCTTGACGCTTGCTAACGAGGAACTCGATGTGGTTGATCATTTCACTTATCTTGGCAGCTGCATCAGCAATGATGGCCGCATAGAAACGGACATCAGCTCACGCATTGCAAAAGCCAGAGCTACTTTATTGAACCTGCGGCATCTTTGGCGACAGAAGGGAGTTCCCCTCCGTCTGAAAGGCCGGGTATACAAGGCCACAGTGAGGGCCGTTCTGCTCTATGGTAGTGAGACTTGGCCCCTTCGGTCTGAAGATCTGAGGCGCCTTCAAGCCTTTGATCATCGTTGTCTGCGAAGCTGGTGGATGGCACCAGCGCGTCCGCAACGATGATGTGCATAGGCGAGTACTAGGTGGTGATAATCATGCTAGCTCCCTAGAACAACAAATAGCATTGAATAAGTTGCGTTGGCTCGGGCACGTGCTACGCATGCCTGGTCACCGCTTACCTAGAAGGGCCTTGTTTAATCTACCAGGTGTAGGGTGGCACAAGTATCGAGGTGGACAGAAATTGACTTGATAGCGGCAAATGAAGTCACTGACTACCAAACTGGGTGCCGTTGGTTCGTCTCGCCTTCCGGGCTGGAGTCCACGTGACTCGCTTTGTGCTTAGCTCGAGATTTTGCAGGACATGGCTCGGCAGTAGACACCAGTGTCGCGTCTGCTGCCGTCTCCTAATTGGACTGCCTGTTTAAAGTGTGTTTGGTGCTGAGTTATCTGCGGGTTAATGGCTGATTATGACGCGTGGCAGTGAAAGCCGCAAGGAAGCTGTCTCGCCGATATCGCCTTGTATTTGCACGATAGCCAGCTGTTTGTGACGGTATGTTGTCTACACAAGGTCTAGGCGCTTTGACCCTGAATGTTTGCTTAGGGCATTAAGGTTTTCAGGTAAGTCCCCCAGGGAGATGGGCGCTCAATGCCCAAAAAAGAAAGCGAAAACTCAGGTTGGTTAGACTGCCTTGCAAAGTGTTCGGCCCAACGCTCCAAGCGTTTTGACAAGCTGTGGATCGGCTGTCCACTCTCGCCGCGTATTGTCTCGCTAACACCAGGTCTCCTGCCGCCTATTCCCCGTATCAGACGGAATAACTTACGATAATTACCAACGGCAGCGGCTGCTTCCATTTCCGATGCACGATGAGACCACCAAGCTTCGCGGTCTCTCTTCCGGCTAGCACGCAATTTTACCCTGAACTTTTTACAAGTCTCATTGTATTCGCCGGAATACGTCAGCGAGCATCCATAAGTATCCGAGACTGTGTAGAGACCTAATGTCCAGCTTGGCGATTTGATTTGCCCCATGAAGACATGCCTGCTGACAGTAACGTTTGACGAATATGCAACCAGTGATCTTCGACGGTGTTCAGTGGGCGCTTACTCAGCCCGGATGTCAGCGTACTTTGATACGCATTCAGAACACCTGGCTTCGCCAGCTGGCTGGTGTCAATGCGCTCAGAGCGACGTTGCGGACGTCCACCGAAACGCACCCGAAGGTCGGCACACACAAGAGCGTGATCGGAGTCCACGCTGGTGCTCCAAATCGAGCGACAGTTTTGGACACAGCCTCTCCAGCGGTAACTAATCGCGATGTGATCGATTTGCGTCCATGGCTGGCCCGAGGCTGGTGGGCGCCAAGTCACTCTTCTGCGGGTGCTATGTCGAAAGTTAGTGCTCGCGAGAAAGAGACGAGCACCTTCACACAGGTGTAGCAACCGCTCACCGTTATCATTACGGAGCCTACACCATGTTGGCCGCCCAGATGAAGCTCATCAGAGGACAATTTTCCGACTTGGGCGTTTAGATCACCAGCAAGCACCACAGTATCCGTGCTTCTTCTGTAACGAAGGAGATCGTTAAGTTGGCGATAGAAATCATCTTTCACCGAATCAACGCTGCAGTTTGTGGGTGCGTATGCCGCAATGACAAACAGGCACCGTTTGTTCCCGCGCGACTTCGTAGCATGGAACGAACTAGCTAGTCTAACGGCGCACATCCGACTATTGACTAGGATCCAATCGATCAGGGCATCTTCAGCCCGGGGACTCGAAACAATGCCGACGCCAGCTTGACCGGTGTTTGAAGCTACATCATCGCCAGACAGGCGCAATGAGAATGTGCCGTCAGTGTCGCATGTGGGGGATCGCAAGGTAAGCACGGAGCTCGGATCTTGCAGGCGGGTTTCCGATAAACAGCAAATAGCGATCGATATGGTCTCTAGTGTGCGGGCAATTGCTGCCTGTTGGCCAATCTGTAGCAAAGTGCTCACGTTGAGGCATACCAGTCTTAGCGAACATCGAGGACTAGAAAGGGAAACGGATGAACTGATTTTGTCCGCTTGTTTGAAAATGGACTTGTCGACTGGACTGGAGCGACGCCCTGCGATTGTGTGTGAGTTGAAGCTAGAAGACAAGTGATTATTGAAGCAAGGTGGGGGAGGGCCAAGAATTAGGGGATTGGAAATGGGGGGATAAAAGTGAAGTTGAGGCGGGACGCTAAAGATGAAAAAGCGCGAGAGTGGAATAATAAGGCGAGAAGGCTTGAGCAGTAGCATCCAAACTTCTAGCCACCCTGCTCGATGCAGCAGGCACGGCGCCGTTTATTATCCTCTGCAACAACCAGAGCATCAACAAATTGTTAGGGGAAACGTTCATTGTATTGTGTGAGCAGGATACTGTCAGGTTTCCCAGGCCTAGAACGGAGAACCATTAGGGTTCTCAACCGAAGCCTTTGGTGCAAAAACCTAACCGCAAAGCAGCGGAGTATTGGCACTGGACTACAGAGAACCCGCTTTATGGAGTAAGGAGCCACCCTCACTCCAACCCCCAACCTGGATTGCCGGGAGACTGAGTTTGTCTGGCCTCTAACCATTGACCAATCTGGTATGAGTGACTGTGAAGGTGCAAATAAACACCACCTCGCATAGCTCAATGGATCCAGTCGCGATCTCATTTCTTAGCACAATACGAATTTTGCTTACTGGATTTTTTTGTTGAATAGTAGCCGGCTAAAAGGTTTCCGGAATGATGCACATCCGTTAGTGGTAGGCAGCTGGCGTGCACCCATTATGGTTTTTTGTTTTCCTTAGTTATATATTGCGGTACAGTGGCTGAGATATTTTCCACCTCTCGCTAAAATGTATAATGATGATGATGGGTCTCTGTATAAGGGAGTTATCTTGCATTCGCTTCCAAGGGAGCGCACCCGTAGTACGTATGCCACTGGGGTAGAATCCGCCGTAGAGTGAGAATACGAACTATGCAATACGGTCTTGATCGGGAATCTGGCTGTCTACTTCCCATACAAAATTTCCATTTCGCAGTGAGGCTGCGAACAGATAGGTTCGAAAAAACGATAAATCGTGCAATCCCATGGGTTCAACCTTCAAGGCAACGTAAAGCAATGTGTAAATGGTTACCATGTGAGGATAAAACGATGCCAAGGAAAGTTCCTCCATTGTGGGTCTCAATGGTACGGAGTTTGGTTGTTAATATTACTCCATCAAAAGTAATTAAGTAAACATCTAGAAGGAGACCACATATTAATGATGTCAGCAATGCGACGTAGATCGTAGCAACTCGAATGCGAAAACCGCAGAATTTCGTCATAAAATGGGCTTAAAAGTCGCCGTTCACAGGTAAATAAAACAAGCTGCGTTCTATCGACCGGCGTTATTCATACGGCATATGTAGTAAGGGGAAGCGAAAAACAATTGGGCACCTTATGTATGGTTGTTATATGATCCCCTGTACGCGAAGCTATCGTCGGGTAGTAGTGTTTTGAGAAGTCGTAATGGGGTCGATAGCACCTTAAGCAGGCTCCTGTAAACCAATAGCGGAAAGGTAAACGTGGGACTGTACGGATGAGGGTTTTAAGAAATACTTTGTGCCAACGAGTATAACATGTCCGTCAAAAGCTGTCTACGCAGCACATCGAAGATGGACACGCAGTACTAGAGCGCAGACAGTAGTGGTAGTTAGGATTCAAGCAAATCATTTCAACCGATCCCACCCTTGAATATTAACAGTAGTAAGAAAATACGCATTTTTAAAATTGGGGTTGCTTGAGTTAAAGACATTGTGCCAAGAGGGTGTGCTTGTCGGGTGATAACGAACGACAGACACGTACCGAAAGCAAAAAGGTGAATGTGGGCTGTGTAGGAGGCGATAATTGTTCTGTTAGTGCCAAGATTACGATACAAAATGATTGGCTGCTAACTGAGAAAAATGTAGAGAAAAAAGTAACGCACCTTTCGAAGTGTGTCGATGAGACAGGTCATCATCTGAGCTCACATTAGCGACATATTCATAGGCATCAAACTTCCCAGCCTCCAACCCACTCGATCGAGGAGCCTAAGCATAAACAAGAAAGTGGTAGAATGCGATATAAGATGAAGATGCAAAATTAGGGCACAACGTTAAGGTACCGGACCTGAAGCGGATAGCTCATGTGCTATTCTTCGAGCGTCAAATAGTGAAATATTGGAAAAGTGTAAACGAGACAATAGTCGAAGCGAAATCGGTGTCGTGATTAAAATATTGCTAGACGTCCACTTCACAGACCAGATTTCGGGAGCGAATCGCACCTGAGCAGAAAGTGGTACAGCTAAACTGAATTGAGAGTGCGCAGTAATAAATGATGTTATTCCGCGTGCGTGCGCGATATTATATCAATGGAGCAGCTTCTGCTCTGCAGTACTCAGTCTTCCGTAATGCGTCCACCATTACAGGTCATCGTCAGGTTTCAAATCAATAGAAAGTGACTGATGGTCGTCTTGCAACACAACACCTGCACTCTAAAGTGAAGATGGCATGCCAAAGCATCGAGTGCGATGCTTACCAATTGATACAGAAAGACGAGGTCGGTTGGTGGCCGAAAGGACTCGGCGCCTGTCTCGTAATCCGTATAGGTGCCTAGCCAGTCCAAAAGGAACTGGTGGTGGTCGTGTGGCAGCGAAGCGTCGGTAAGGTGGGCCAGTGTACTGTTAATGCCTGTCTAGCGAACAAGCAGGATTACCCACCTTTTCGCACGACTAGACCTCAATGTTCGTATGGTAAAATTCCATAAATGAAAACTGCATGATGAAATACGCGATGAAGTTGAATGGAAATGGACAAATTAGACAAATACGACGAACATCACGTATTGCAGAAAATGTATCCAACAAGTCACTGTGGAGTGAAGCGACCCGAAATATCCGAACACAGGAAACGAATGTTGACTTATTCCCTGGATCACCCTCAAAAGCAAGAAAAGAGTACAGAACGAAGCGATAGATTGAGCCCGCTACGCCCCTGTAATCGAGGGAAGCGATCGTGGTCCATCCGCGGCAAATGCGCTGCCACTCGAGTGTGCCTCTCACAGTAGAGATCAGGTCCGTGCAGCCTCACGCCAAGAAAAGACCCACAAGCCCTCACATTGATTTCAGCACCTCAGCAAGGTGAGTAACCATAACGGAGGCACACATTCATGGATTTGATCAATAGTGAAACTGATAACGATTCGCCCAAGATGACCATGACGGTCTCCGATTTCGAAATCCGCTGGAAAAGTGGGCTAATATTTACACAGAACCAGCAAGCAGCGGCAAATAGAAGGCGGGACGCAGTTGTGACGCTATAGCACTTCGAACTTCAGATTGGGTCGGAAATTCAAAGTTGCGTAGTCACTGTTCACTCTGCTGCGCACAAAAACCAAGTAACTGAGACAGGAGGCCAAGTGAGTTGCTCCCGAAACTGTTCCGCCAAGCAACTCAGCTCGTGTAATCATTTTAGCCACTTTACACATTAACTATGGATGAGGAACACCTCAATGAAAAAAGAATGATAACAAAAAGGCTGAACGAAATGAGGTGGTATAAAGAATCTCATAACACAACGCCAATGGGGTCGGTTCTTCGTCATGTCTACAGGTGTGAAACAGTGCTAGTTAGAAATAATTGTTGATCATTGCACAATTGTTACCGTTTGAACACTCGGAATTAAGTGCGGGCATTTCACCTAAGCCTCTGGAGAGCTTATATAACCCCCTGGCGTATTCATATCTGGGAGGAAAATAACAGAGAGACGACACATATGCGGTACACTACATTTGGTACCGAAGTGTAGATATCATTCAGTTGCAAGCGGGTGAACGCAGGCTGGGATGATACTAAGATGTCCAAACATACGCAGAGGTGAGAACCTGAATGTGGTGTGCAGAAATTGTAAGTCAGACATAGGAACAACCGCATTACTGGCACCATTCACACACGCCTGTAGACTGCATGATGGAAGGCATGGTTGGTGTCATCCGAACCGCTAACGGTTGGTAGCAACCACAAACGGGCCTTGACCAGATCCACACCATGCGATAACCTGGGTTGACTTTGTCAAACGGACCGCGAGTGCAAATTAAAACGACCAATAAGAATTCAGCCCGGAAACTGAGAGCGGTGCCTACCCAGTTTGACCTGTGAATGTTGCATCAGTACCACGGTTGTGTGGAATTAGTAGGGAGAGGCGCGGGTGGTTCGATGATCATGCGAGAGTTATGCATCTTTGCTTCGGAAATGTAGTATGCAACATAACCAAACGGGAACAGCGTGCATGCAGTATGTTGACCATATTATACGGTACGAGAGCTGAACGCCACCGCAGAAACCGTCCAGTGCGGTCTGATAAGGAGCTTTGGTTGACAGGCTTATGTTGGCCGCCGTTATGACAAGGACGCATATGGTGTTAGTGACGGGAGTTATAAGTAATTCCAACCACAACCATCACCGCCACGAACAAAGAGACAGTTTACCAGAGGTGCAGTTAGTCACACTAAAGAAAAAAAGCATCTAAGGGGAACAAAACAGCCGGTTAGCATAGTTTAATGGATTGCAAAGGTGTGAAAGCCGTGGTACCACGCCATTGTCACATATCACTGCGACAGATGACACACTAGCCATGGATATCTATCAGTAACCGCGATTCATTTGGAGATTCCTAGTTAGGTGTGATTTAAAGTGGCTGGGAACACTTGACAATGACCTCTGGTTGAACCAACTTTGGCAGTGTGATCAAAATAAGTAGAAGGAGAAAGCCGGTGCTTCGTAACAACGCCTCGCCGCCACTATCAGTGAGGTGCGCGCTGCAGATGGTCCGAAGTCGCCCGTATCCACACCAACTCAGACCAGTGACCCTTGGGCTACAGGCCAGAATCCTTAACCAATCGAATGCCTAAAGACAAGCGGACTAGTAGCTAATTCATAGTCCATAACAAACTAGTCCAAGCACAGATTGGATCGTCCACTATTCACTGGCATTGCTGCTTCGATGCATGTGAGTACAGGAGGTGAACGAGCAGGCTGGATTTCTGGCATATCGTTGAAGTCAGAAGAATGCTGTAACGCAGGCGCATCATCAATATCATTACACATTAGCTGAAGGTGAGAAACACACATCAACTATTGTGTCGCAATATATAAAGGATAAGACATACGAAAAAGCAAGATGCTGAAAATTACTAAATGCTAAAATCAGTCGACAGACTATATAGTAACCTATTATACGTCAGTAAGATTGTGGTTGGAGGAAGATAAGCGGAATGGGGCTGGACAAAGAGACTCACAACACAAACTCCATTGAAATCAGCTCCTTGCCATGTCAGCCAGTGTATCCAACCAAACGTGCTCATCGTCCTTCGGGCCCCAGCTAGACAGTCGGGACACACTAACCAACGCCAAATTCGAAGTGAGGGACTTGATTCCCCTTGACAAAGTCATTGCTTGACCTCCATTCCCCTTCTTCAATCCACAGCCCAAGCGCGCAAACAACGCATATCGCGGAAGTCGGTGGGCTGGCATGCGCAACACATGACCCAGCCATCGGAACATGGTGCGTGACATAATGGTGTTGAGTGGTTCACTCGCACTTACTGCAACAAATACACGACGCCGAACACGCTCATTGCTCACGCGGTTCTGCTACGAGACATGAGCTAAGCTGCGAAGGCAGCAGTGATCGAACGTGACTAGCCTCTATGTCTGTCGACTTGATAGGCCAGGTTTTGCAACCGTACAGTAGGGTTGAACGGACGGTTGCATTCTAAACTCTGTGTTCAGGACGAGAGTAATGTTGCGCGGGCGCCACAGATAGCGGAGAGCGGCAAAACCGCCTCGAGCATTCGCTATGCGGTTTGCGATCTCATCTTCCATTCCACTGGCGCTATCGCTGATATAACTGCCGATATACTTGAATTTCTCGATGACTTTAGCTGATCACCATCAAGGGTCAGCACAGGAGGCAGTCTCTGCCAAACTTGGAAAAGGAATCTGTACTACGGGAGTGCAAAGCATAGCCCGAAACGACTGACAGCCAATGCTTATTTGTCCAGTGCTACTTGGTATATTTGAAAGCTGTCACAGATAAGAGCCATGTCGTCGGCGTACGCCATGTCAAGAAGTTCACCTGGGAGCAGCTCCACGCCTTGCAGATGGTGTCCAGCGAACGGTTTCCATGACTTCGTCGACGAAGAAGCTAAGAAGGAAAAGTGACAGCAGCCATCCTAGTCTCACACCGCTGGGGAGATATTGAAGGACGGCGACAGTTTGCAGTAAACCCACATTCTGCCCGAACTATGCGGGTAAAGCGTTCAGATAATGTTTACATAATTATCGGGCACACCGTTCCTGAGTAGACAGTCCCAGAAGACACGTCGATCAACCGAATCCAAGGCACCTCTAATGTCGAGGAGCACGACTACGGTGAGTCGCCGATAAATATGACAGTGCTCCAGCAATTGACGTAATGTGAATATGTGGAAAATAGAGCCCCGAGTTCGACGAAACCCGGCTTGTTCCTCGCGAAGCTGGCTTTCACGTGTGCCAGCAAATCTATGCAGAACGACAGAGGCGAATACATTAGAAGCAGTTGAGATCAGACTGATTCCTCTATGGTAGCTGCATTCCGGACGTGAGCTCCAATTGAAAAGCAGGACTATTATGGAGCGGCTGCAGTCCGCTGGGACAGTTTCCTGCTTCCACAGTTTCACAAGTAGACTATGCAGATCATCTACAAGAGCAGGTGCCCCGAATCTGAAAAGAGCTGAAAGGATTCTATTCGCTCCTGCGGCCCTAGTAAGGTAAGTGCAATTGAGAGCTCGGTCGGGATCAAGGTAGGAGTTGCGCAAACTCTCCTTGTCAGACGCACGGGCAAATTGGCCCTAGTGTGGTATGTCGTTTAGATAGCATCAATAAATCAATGCGAAGTCTTGTGATGAAGAGCCGTACTGCTGATGTTACAGTGGTGGTCGATGTACAACTGAAGAAGACGGCATCGTTTAATAATGTGCGGCCGTAGCTTTCACACAAAAGCGTCGTTCGGATAAGCCAGTGACCACAACCATTTGAAAAAGATAACGCCAAAGAAGAATCACAGTCGAAACTAATTTAAAATATCCATTCATTCAGTTGGGAGCCAATCAATCGATCGCAAGAACTATGTCAAAAACTGGATAGTTTTACATCATAATGATTTCACGTCGATGTGAAACGCTACATAATCGAGGACCGAGCGTTGCCAAGTAGTAAAGGCATGGGGGAGAGAACAGAAAAAGTTAAATGGAGTGCCGATGCTTCGCTGCCGCGCAACCACCACCAGTCGCGCTTGGGCCAAGGTTACTGTGAGAGTCCCCTACGCCTGCTCGAACTCGAGACCTCGAGATTACAAGGCAGGTTAGTGGTCCTTAAGGCCACGGACCGGCGTGGAGGGACGAGAATTATCATAGGCCTAAAGTGAAAAGCTTTTAGACACGGGATAAAAGGTACTAACTCACTTGATCCAGCTGAGTGACCAGAATAGTAGGTTGTGTTGACAGCTGTGTGCCGGGTGACACCGAAGCGGAATGAGGAGACTGAGGCTGAAGAAATGGAGACATGTTATGCTGAAAAGATACTGCGAGTACGAAATGAGATGATCAACATTTGGTCATGAGCAGGTTAATATCATGAAGACTGCAAACGGAACAGCTGGTATCGAAACCAACAAATAACAAAATAACGACACCACCAGAGAACATAGGAACCACCGGATGTTTGGGCAGATGGGAAAGCATACTGTTTGCTCACTGGCCCGCTATCATCATCATCATCATACACGTTAGCTAGAGGTGGGGAACACCTCAGCTACTGTGCCGCAATAAACAGAAAAAAGGAGAAAAAATATGCAACTGGCGCAAGCCGGTTGAGCTACCGGTAACGGATGGGCATCGTTCCGATAAACAACCAGCCGGCTGCTGTGCACCAAAAAAATTACTATGCAAAATTATATAAGGCTAAATAATGAGATCGTGGTTGGAGGGGAAGGCTAAGAGGGATGGGGTGGGACAAAGAAACTCACAGCACAAACGCCATTGAGGTCGGCTCCTAGCAATATAACAGCAAGTGTGTCCAACCAAACGTGTTCATCGTCTTTCAGACCCCAACCAGGGAGCCGAGACGTGCCACCCGAGGCCAGCTCCGAAGTGGGGGCCTTCATTCCTCTTGACCAAGTCATCGCTTGGTCACTCCTCCTCTTCTTCCATCCACATCCCCGGCGCGCGAACAACACATGCGTAACACGTGACCGAGCCATCGGAGCCTGATGCGTGAAATAACGGTGCTGAGCGGTTCAGTTCCTTTTCCTGTGCCATAAACAAGGCGTCGAACACGCTCGTTGCTCACGCGGTGTTCCCACCAAATGTGAGCTAAATTACGAAGGCACCGGTGGTCGAACGTAACCTGCTTCTTTATGTCCGCTGATCTAAGGGGCCAGGTTTCACAACCGACAGTAGGGTCGAACCTACTGCTGCATTGTACACTACCCTTCAGGGCAACAGTGATGTCGCGCCGGCGCCATAAGTGGCGAAGGTTAGCAAAAGCGCCCCGAGCTTTTGCTATACGGTGCGTGATCTCATCTTCAATCCCACGGGCGCTGATATAACTTCCCAGGTAGTTAAATTTTTGAACGACTTCTAGCTGATCTCCACCAACGGTCAGCGTAGGAGGCGGTCCAGACCAATCTTGGAGGAACGATTTGCACTTCGAGGGTGCGAAGCAAAGCCCGAAGTGACGGACAGATAGTGCTAATCTGCCCAGTGCCGCTTGGCACGTTTGTGAGCTGCCACAGATTAGGGCAATATCATCAGCATACTCTAAGTCAAGAAGCCGTTCTCCTGGGAGTAGCTCCACACCTTCTAAGTCGTGTCCTGTGAACGCGATTTCCATGACTTCGTCAACAGCGAAGTTGAAGAGGAAAGGTGACAGCGGGCATCTTTGTCTCACGCCGCTGGAGATATTAAAGGGCGACGACAACTTGCCGTAATCCTTCACTGTGCCCGAGCTACGCGCATATAATGCTCGGATAATATTTACATATTTCTCAGGTACACCTTTCCTGAGTAGACAGTCCCAAAGTGCATGTCTACCCACCGAATCGAATGCACCTTTGATATCGAGGAACACGACAAGGGTGGGCCGCCAATATATGTGACGGTGCTCCAACAAGTGACGCAAGGTGAAGATGTGGTCAATGCAGCCACAGTGGCCCGTTAACACTCACATGGACAAAAAATCCTCTTAATAAAAGTGTGAGCCAGTCGAAACGCAGCTGAAATTAATCGTGGTTTCTGGTGTATCCAATTATACGGCAGGAGAATACATATGAATTATTCGGGATCCTAGCGTGAGGAACTGCGATGCACCTGAAAAACCATACAACAGCCTTTTGGGCTTGCGAAATACATAGTGAGGATTACAACGCATAGCGCAATGCGAAAGCCAGTCTAGCAGCGCTTGTTGAGGGGCTGAGTGCTACTTCAAGTGAGCCACATGACTTGCACAACCAGTTCATGAATCGGCTATAGGGTCACTGAAAACTCACTTCTGTAACCAGAAGTGAGTACCTAACGGACGGCAGGTGAACAACCTTGTTGGTCACCGGCTTCTCTGTGGACTGCTACTGCACACAAAAAGGCGAATGAGCTACCCGGATGTAAGCGTTCTCAGTTAATCGTCCCGTTGCCTTGTGGGTCAGGTCTTTATGACCTAAGAATCGGGGTGGGGTCCTCGGCCTGGGCAACCGGGAAGATCTCCGCCTGCAAAATACATTAACCTTGTAAGCCTTCCCACTGTCTACCTATTTCCCCTTGTTGTTGTTTTTATTATTATTATTATTATTATTATTATTATTATTATTATTGTTGTTGTTGTTGTTGTTGTTGTTGTTGTTGTTGTTGTTGTTGTTGTTGTTGTTGTTGTTGTTGTTGTTGTTGTTGTTGTTAACTATGTGTTGTGGCACTGTCAACTGTATATTGGTCAGGTCATCAGTCGGCCAAACGGTTGAACCCGTGACCCAGATGATGCAGCCGAGATGACCAGTCAAGAGAATCCCGACCACAATAATGGAGTTTCTATCCTCGAAAGGCGAAACCAGGTAATCTGCAGTAATCTCCCCAATGGCTTTCGAATCCGAAATCAAACAAGCAATCTCATAAAGGGATGTGTTCGAAATAGCGCAGTGGAGAGGCTAACGATGACGGCTGTGAACCGGTCAAAAACTTTGCACCACATGCAATAAGGGTCATATGGCCTAATCGAAACAACCAAGGCAAGATGACGGTAATAAGTCTAGTAATTAACAAGCAGATCGATTGTTATCTGAGTCTTGCGTCAGTCTTCATTGTGTAGAGAGAACAAAAGTCTAACTGATAATCGATATCAAGAAGGGGCACGGTTCGGAGTACTACGTCGTTTCCCATGCCATCCGCAGCGAAAGTCCCTTAAATAGCGGCGGTCATGGATTTAAAAAATAGGTACAAAGGTTGAGGGGACCGTGAGGGAGAACAATTGCATAGATCGTTTTGTTTAGACAAGATTTCAATTGTAATGCAATCCGTCTTAAGCACCAATAAGTCGCGAAATGTTACAAATCGCTCAGGCTGTAATTCGAGAACCGATCTGACAAACGACAACAAAAGCACCCAGTCTCTTAGTGGGAAAGCTGAATGAAGGTGGAGAGTCACGGTGTAGAAGTGTTGTACGCCACCGAAGTAAAAGGTTAACACCGATGGGCATATACATTTTGGCAGAATTAAAAGAAGCACAATACGCCAGTGCAAGAAGCGGTAAGGAAGCGCAAGGAAGTTGAGAGACACAGAATGCAAACTACATTAAAAATGGCTGTAAACAGAAAGCAGATCATAAATGAACCAACCCTGAGGTAAAACAGCATCAACGGTAACCCACACATACAGCTATAGAAGACGTTTTGATCCACTATTTAAAGCAATGTGTGGTGTCCAAATGCGGCCTAAACAGAAAATTTGTAGGAAGTTGGCTACCGAGCTGTGCAAACCTCATTAGAATAAATATGGAGCAGTGAAGCAAACGGATATCGAGCAAATCGAGTGGCCTTGGGAACTCTCCTGGCAGGGGATCTTGAAAACCGAAACATGATGATCCGATGGATAGTGTCCATCACACTGATGATGTAGGCGGTAATGTATCCCCAAAACTGCTATCACGAAGTATGAATACGAGTCCAATTCATTCTGCGAATTTACTCCATAAACCCAAGTGAGCACCGCAAGACATCCGCGTAGACAAGTTCAGTAGATAAAATTGACATATCGTTACTTGAGGCAACATCAAGACATAAATCTGTCTTCCTATCCTATGAGTATACGCTTTGAGTGCGCTGGGGTATGATGAGACAGTTAAACACACACGCTGGTACAATGATCAGGCCTAATATTACATGCGCAGGGTCTGATTCTATCTGAAAACACCAGTCATCAAATGAAAAACAAACGATCGAAAAATTCGTACGACACTAGGACTGAAATAACGTGAATAGCAAATTTGTAGGTTTCCGGAAAATTCATATACCCGAGAATGTACTTCAAAACGAAACAAAACAGCATTAGCACACGTTTTCAAGCACCGACTTAATGTTCACCTCTGTTGGTAGGTAATGCAATGATCCTATTGTCATTGTATTGTAGGTCTGTTGTGGTTCCCATTTGCCCAACTTTCTCGAAAGTCTGACCCGAAGATATTTTAATGCAAAAGGTCAGATATGTGAACAGCGTGTAAATTTGCTTCACAGCTTACACTAGTGGGGAGTGAAAGATACCCCCAGTAGTGAATGTTGTGCACGTATTGCCAATCTGACACGTAAAGTGCGTGAAAACTGACCTGAGTGGTCTAGCATAAACATCATTACCAAGAGGATGTAGAGAAACAAATTTAGCAATTTGCACTTTTTACAACTCGTAACGACCGACTAGGGAGAGCCCTACGTCGATTATGAAGCCGATAACACCTTAACATAGCATACCAAAAAACAACGCTTTCAAGGCAAAAAGTATGCAATTGCATGCTTATAAAGAGTGTATGGTGAGGTGGTGTTAGTGCGAGACATTTTGACCTGGTATACAAACATCACACATCAGTGAGAGTACACAGGTAACACAGATAAAAGGCACTTGTTAGTCGAGTAGGTAAAATGTGTCGAGCACAAAGGGACAACGACCCCCAGTAGACAATAGATGGAAAGAACACGCTATACATTTTCACCAAATTACCTGTTGTACCCGACCCTTGCAATGAGGAACAGCAGGGCGACGCCCCGAAGATCGGTTACGAGCAGGACAGCATCGAGAACGGGCCACGGGGCTTCTAAAGCGATCTGATGTTCTCATGGAAGAATGAACCACGCTGCGTTTGCTCCCTAACGGGCGGCCCCGACGCCGAATGACCACAGTGGGTGAATCCAGATCGGCGGATGGTACACTACAATCGAGTGATCCCAATTCCGACGCTAGGGAAGCGGAGCTTTCCTTCTGTAAATCCTTAGATTCCGGGGAAGCTGCTTTTGAGAGGTTGCATTGCTGAGTAACTGTAGCAGCTGACGATCCCGAAAGACTGTTCATAGATCGGCGCAATTGACGAGGGGCGTTGACGTCAACTTCAATCACCTCGGTATTTGCAGCCACCGCCTTAGTACAATATGAACATTGCCTATGGAAGAGACCACGACGAAGGTTAAAAATCAATTGATCCGATCAAGCACGCAAACGCGTCCACAGAGGAAGACTTACCAGCCATAGAGTCTGGTACGCTTTGGCATACGCAGCAAAGGAGGATCCAGGCATGCCAAATGGAAACCTTTGCCACAAGTGTCACACTTTGTGATTAGATGCTGATCCTGGAGTCCATTACAGATGGAGCACCTAAGTAAGAAGAGATTAGACGTTCGCAGGAAATTGGTCTCAGTAACTATGCTTCCATTCAACGTGCAATAAAATTGATGGGGCAAGAGAATTCGTTAGATGGATATATATATATATATATATATATATATATATATATATATATATATATATATATATGGTAGGCGGCATCCGGTTTCGGATTTGCCTGTCACTGTGGTCAGCCACAGGACGCCTGCGCCTACAGAGGGACCATGGATGGCTTGCGCTGCACCACCCACAGCTCCAACCACACACCCCATATCCAGTGTAAACCCGAAGGAATAAGACCGGGAGGCATGTGGATGGGAGCCACGTTTCATCAACGGAGCCGGCCCACACTCCTTCACAGACAAACACAAGCACGCTGTATTTGGGTAATCAAGCGCACACAAGGCGGTGGCTGGATCGTAGTCCGCTCCACACTGAGTGCATGGAACCACTCTTCGAGCCTAGCACGGACACAAGGACCGTGCACCCCGTCCCCTCCAGCAACGACCAACTGTCTCCTGGAGCCAGTATGGACGAGGTAGTGGGTAATAGACAGGTAGGCACCTTGTCAACATGCACATCAAGCGCAGCCACACCTGGGATGTCAAACAACAGCCAATCATACGAAATGCCGATAGCGATTAAAGTAAACGCATATGACGACATAAATACTCGCTAAATGAGCATATAGAAGTTATAAGTGAATGCGTGATAAGTACAAAATGCCCGAAAGTTAGTTAAAAAAATACCACGCGATAAAATTACGCAAGTTTACCATAATTTGCGTGAGCGACGTGTGTAAGTAAGGAGAAGATTATCAAGTACGCAGAACAAACCAAATAACATGTAATGAATTTTATCCACATTAAGAAGACCTAGTTTAAGTGTAAGTTGGTTTAGCCCAGCTGCAGTGAAAAAGCATCATCAATGCAACATCAGCCTCAGCCCTCACACTGCCCGTGCTACGCGCATATAATGCTTGGATAATACTTACATATTTCTCGGGCACACCTTTCCTGAGTAAACAATTCCAAAGGGCACATCGATCAACCGAATCGAAGGCACCTTTGATGTCGAGGAAGACGACTAGGGTGGGCCGCCAATATGTGTGACGGTGCTCCAACAACTGACGCAGGTGAAGATGTGGTCGATGCAGCCACGACCCCGACGAAACCCGGCTTGCTCCTCACGAATCTGGCTTTCACGAGCGCCAGCCAGTCTGTGAAGAATTATGGAGGCGAGTAATCTGGAGGCGATGGAGATCAGACTGATTCCTCTATGGCTGCCACATTCCGAGCGCGAGCCGCCTTTGAAGATGGGAACAATAACGGAGCGGCTCCAGTCGGTTGGGACAGCCTCCTGCTCCCACAGTTTCACTACTAATTCATGTGAAGCACCAACAAGAGCAGAGCCTCCGAATTTGAAGAGGGCTGGAGGAAGATCATCTGGTCCCGCGGCTTTGTTCAATTTCAACAGTCCGATCTCACGTTCGACTTCTGAGCAAGAGGGTGGATCCAAAGGGACAGCCCACGGAGCAGGGCGATCAGTGACCGGCGAATCGAACAATTCTAGCCGATTAAATTACTTTTCAAAATGCTCAGCCCAACGCTCCAAACGTTCTGACAAACTGTGGATGGGCTGTCCACTCTCATCACAAATTGTTTTACTAACATCAGGTCTCCTGCTGCCCGTTTCCCGTATCAGGCGGAATAACTTACGATGGTTGCCAAGCGCAGCGGCCACTTCCATCTCTGACGCACGATGAGACCACCAAGATACGCGGTCTCTCTTCAGGCTAGCGCGGAGTTTTGCCCGGAGCTCTGCGAGTTTCATTGTGTTCGCTTCTAGCCCGAATATGCCGGCGAGCATCCATAAGTTCCAGAGACTGTGAAGAGACCCAATGTCCATGTCGGCCTTTAGACATACCACATGAGGAGGTTCCAGCTGCAAGTAAGGTCTGGTGTATATGAGACCAGTGACCTTCCATTGCATCCAGTGAGCGTTTATCCAACTCGCATGACAGCGTACTTTGATAGGCACTCAGAACAGCTGGCGTCGCCAGTTGGCTGTTGTCAATGCTGTCACAACGTCGTCGTGAGCATCCGCCAAAGTGCATCCGCATGTCAGCACATACAAGTGCATGGTCCGCGTCTACACATATGCCATATATATATATATATATATATATATATATATATTTGGTTGGCGGCATCCGGTTTCGGATTTGCCTCTCTCTGTGGTCAGCCACAGGACGCCTGCGACTACAGAGGGACCATGGGTGACTTGCGCTGCACCACCCACAGCTCCAACCACACACCCCATATCCAGTGTAAACACAAAGGAATAAGACCGGGAGGCAGGTGGATGGGAGCCACATTTCATCAACGGAGCCGGCCCACACTCCTTCACAGGCAAACACAAGCACGCTGTATTTGGGAAATCAAGTGCACACAAGGCAGTGGCTGGACCGTAGTCCGCTCCACACTGAGTGCATGGAACCACTCTTTGATCCTAACACGGCGACAAGGACCGTGCACCCCGTCCCCTCCAGCAACGACCAAGTGTCTCCTGGAGCCAGTATGGACGAGGTAGTGGGTAATAGACAGGTAGGCACCTTGTCAACATGCACATCAAGCGCAGCCACACCGGGGATATCAAACAACGGCCAATCACTTAAGAGAGAGAGAGAGACAAGAAAATAACTCGATTAATGCATAAGGAAACGGTGGCATAAACCTTAAGTTAATGAGCATACGTAATAGGTTGTTTACAAACGAATCCTAGATAAGTTCGCGCGGTCAGAAAGTATACTTTACGGAATACCTCGAACACAAAAATGCTATGGAAATCGACTACAATTGGCTTAAGCGAAGTGTGCAAGTTAATGGAATAGAGTACAGGTAGACATTTATATGAGAAAGAAAAGCATTTAGGCAAAATTGAAAGCCCACCATCAGAAATAAAGAGACTTAGCATGCAAGCACGCAGTTGGTAAGTCGAATGCAGCGTGCCTACAAACGCTGCGCCGGTGCTGTCTACCTTCTCTGCAGGACACGTCGTCGCTTCTGTAGTGGTCCCCAGTGGCCTCGCTCATGGCTCACTTGGAAAGGGTGACATATAGCTTGAAGTAATGAGCATCTGAAGTAAGTTGTTTACAGAAGAATGCGAGATAAGTTCACGAGGTCAGAAGGCAAACTTTACGGAAATGCCACGAACATATATATATATATATATATATATATATATATATATATATATAAATTCAAATTTGGCCGTGCTTTGTGATTCCTGTCCACCGGATTTATCAACACAGGCTAGCATTCACTAATTTGCCCCTTTGTTTTAACCTATCAGTTGTTCATTGCGCGTATCGCATCACGATTACCTAAGCTCGCGACATTTTAAAAAGGTTGCATGCTTTTACGAACGAGAACCTAGCACTTTTTCTTGGTCAGTCTGTAGGGGACAAATGGAAAAAACAAGGAGAAAACGAAGTAGTTTTACAAGTAAGCAACGCGCAGGATGGAGAGTTGCACTTCGAAGGAATAATCTCGGCCGTATGAGTATACTTATTTTGATCAGTGTCAACATCGTTCGCTTATGAGTAAATTAAGCTTAAGCTTATAACAAATTGTCACGAATACTCCCAACTCGGTGTCATTATGCTACAAGAAACATGGCTGCAAGAGGACGTAGAAGATACACTTGTGGCACTTGACGGATTTACTGTGCATCGCGTTGACCGCCCATGTACACAAAGGCACCGTGGCGGTGGCGTTATCACATACATAAATCCTTCATGGTGTAAGTCGACAAAAATTATTTTTCGTCACGCGCAGCGAATCAGATGTTTAATTGTGAAATGCAGGCCTCGATACCTGAGCAACTATCGTTCGATGCTATTAGTCAACATATATATTTCCCCCAGCTGCTGAAAACTTTTATGACGATTTTACTACTACCATCACTGGACATCTAGATTTTTCTGTGTTTTTGCCGGTGACTTCAATAGATTCGATACTTATTACTAATCTTGGACTGAAGAACATCGTGGAGTCCACGACAAGGTTACAAGCAACCTTAGACTTAGTGTTTGTCAACGACTTAAAACATTTTCTGTTTGTACCAAGACACCGCTTGGAAGCCCAGATCATGCCACCATAGAGTTGTCTTTCATAATCTACGGCAAAACGAACTACAAAAATGTTACTCGCTGCAAAGATAGCAAGTTAACGCAGTGTCTTCCCCGAAACATTGAGCTACTTAGGCGAAACTGTTGCCTCTAAAGACTTCAATATATTTTACAACTCTGATGTATCGAAGTACTGTGATCATTTAACCAGCTACTTGGACTTTTGCTTCGATATTTGTTGGTCTACGAAAACCATTTTCATTAGCGCAGATAGGTTTTCATCTCCGTGCCTAAAAAGACTGCGCAGACTCAAAGAAAAATCTTACAAGCGTAAAGACGCCGATTCAGTAAAGTCTTTATCGGCTGACACAAAAAATGAACCATATTTATGTCCAAAATATACTTGGAAAGAATAACTGCCGAGAAAGATGGAAAATGATGAAGAACCTAAATGGAATCGTCAGAAGTGTCACACACACTGCTCTCGATGTGAAGGAATTAAACCGCAACCTCTGGGGTCATATAAATGATACAGTATTGTACTTACGAACTTTACCGTTGCAACTCCCCTCAGCTCAGGCTGTCGTCAGCTGATGAGTCTAAACCGGGAGGAAACTGTGGTCGTGGTTGCCAGGGTTGGGAGGAGCAACACCCAAATATTTCCATTTCGGATACAGTCCTCGCGATCGGAATGACCGAGGTTTACCTCAAAGTGAACCGAGGTCTCAATAGAGGTTGCGTGTCGCAATCCAACCACACAGCGGGTTCCCCAAGTCCAATGTATACTTGCGCAGGACTTCTGTGTCTCCAACTCGGTCATCCCAGCCGATGCGTAACATCCGACGCAGCAGTGTTGATG